TACAATATTTTTCTGCATCTGGCTGTTGAACGTGAACAAAGATGTGCTTGCTTGTGAGCAGTCATTCCTGGCCTTTGGTCTTGTTATTTGTGGTTGAGAGATCTGTTTACAACTGATAGCATCTCTCAACATGCTCATCATCATCATGTGCATCTAAGTGGATGTGTGTCTGTGTGTTCAAAGGTATAACAGAGACTGGTTGCTCACAGCCTTCAAACTACAGATGCTATCAAGACTTAGCAACTGTAGGAGGATTCTGAGACATAAGAACAAGTCAAGGGGAAGAAATGTAGATTCTAAAGCAATAGAAACCATTGATCTGCTCTCTTTTTGGCACTTACCATATTTCATTTGGTGTTTAAAGCAATGGAAAGGAAAAAGGCAGAATAGTTAGTTTTGATTTAAGCAGGGTGGTATTGGCAGCAGTCAAACACAGATTTCATCTAAAGCAGTATTTGTGTAAATTGAAGGGAGACAGGAGAATGCAGGGAGGGGTCTTTTGGGTTGTGTGTATTTATAGGCACACAGTTCCCCACATAAGGGAATTTGTCTGGGTACTGGCTGAGTGGTTTTAGCCTTGGCAGCATGTTGTAAAATGCACTGTAGCCAGCTGAATTCTATTGTTGTTGCCCTGTTTGGCCGTAATTAGACCCAGAGGGACATAGGCATGAAACCTGTATTTGTGAGAAATTGTGTCGTGGTAATAGTACTAAGAACATTAGAATGTTCTAATAATGTTCTCCAATAAATTAATTAAATAAATAAATAGATAAATAGGAATTATTAAGAGAATTGATTTGTCTTCCCAGAAAGAAGTAGATAAAGATCTGTGAAACAAGATAAAAGGAAATTAATAACTGCTAGCTGAAGCACTGAAGATTTGTCATAGATAAGACCTGGTTAAGTGACAGAAATCTGAATTTTCTTAAATGATTCCTCTAAAAGAATATAGGACCTGAAAGCTGCAACATCTGTTGTTTGGTGCCACATAATATAACGTTCCAAAAAATTAATTGGTTAAAACTGCTTTGAGTAAGAATCTATTTAAAGATCTGAGACACAGCAAATGGATTTGATCACAGTGATGTCTGAATAACAGTGGCACATTTCACTTTTCGGAAAGACAGGATGCTTTAGGAAAGTATTGTCCATTTCTTGTATCAAATGTGTCTTTGGTGAGAGAGGAGAGGTCTAGAGCTAGAGAGCTCTTCTGGTCAGAGGTCATGCAGATTTGGATGTAGTTTGCACACAGGTTACTCAGATCAGGCTTATTTTTTTTGTTTTCTGGCATGTTGTAATTCCTGGAAGACTGCTATTATGGATGTTGTAATTGTGGGTTTTCCATTCCTTTGTTTTTAAAAAGGATGTTTTAAAAACAGCTGGAATTAAACCTACCAGAGTCCACTTTTTTCTATGCACTCACAAGGCTATCCAAGAGGTGGGACATTCGTGGCTGTAGTGTTTTCTTTATATACAATTCAGAAATTGCCTGGGAAGCTCTCCTGGCCTTAGAGCTGCAGGTTAAAATATATGGTTGAGATTTTTACTCCTTTGCTTAACTTGAAGCATGGTGCAGGCAGGCATGCAGACTAAGGGGGCAAGGGAAGTACAAGCAGAAAGTCCTGGAAGAAAGCACGATGCTCTAGCATTTTGGTTGAGATAGATAGATAGATAGATAGATAGATAGATAGATAGATAGATAGATAGATAGATAGATAGATTAGATAGATTAGATAGAAAGAAAGAAGACATTTCTGAGCTGTAGTTTTTATTTTTATTTCAGATTTAATGTAAGCAAAAATTAATCCTGTAAGGACAGACTGGAATTCAATCTTTCCAGCTTTCACATGAAAGCCTAAACTTTCAAGCTTTTATGTGTCCTGACTCTCACCACAAAATGGACTGCACTTTTTGCTCATCTCTAGGATATAACATACTTGTTCATCTTTCCATAGATGACATAAGTTCTGAAGAGGTGAGGGAAAAATAGATTTGCTTCTTGTCAGATTCTTTTTTGTCTTAGAGAGTAGCGTTCAGTCTTTATCTGTAGAGAAGCTAAATACCTTGATCCCAAAATGTTGCAAAATCTGGCTAAAAAATGCCTGAAAATGCATCCTTTCCTCACATGCACATTTTTCATCTGTTTAAAATTGTGACTTTCTGAGGCTGTACACAAGTGTGTAGGAATGGAAGACAGCAGGAGATAAATTCCATATCACCTGTATGCCTGCAGAAATGAAGACATTTAGCAGAATGACACCTAAATACTGCAGCACAAAGTTCTTAAAGGGACATGAGAGCTAGTTAGCTTTGTTCCTGCTGAGATAAGTGCCAAATGTTACTATTTTGATGGTCAGTTTTCCTGAAGACTTCATGACCATTTTTACACTTGAGCATCTGTGTCTGCAGGATGCTGTGGTGAATGGTAATAATTGGAGCCTGGCTGGGCATAAGAAAAAACACATACGCAGTGCCCTTCCATGGGCATTCTTTTTATGTGAGCACTCTGATGAGTGCTGGTTTATATGTTTAGATTTTCCTCTCCTCTTCACTGTGTAGGTGGTGGAGACAAGCAGTGTAATGCAGAGGAAGGAGATGTAAAACATTTCCAGCCATAGAAACAGCTGCTTCATGGGGCTTTTAATGTTGCGGTTTCTGGATAGGAAAAAAAAATTTAAAATCCATCATTTAAATTTGAGGAATAAGCATGGCCAAAAGGCTTTTAATGAGGGAGGGTGCCCCACTCTGAGAACACCGAGGCTTTAGCCCATGAAGAAGCTGTTATCATTGCATTATGAGGATTGCCTGAATTAACAGGAAAGAAAAGTTGTCAAATATGTTCTTCGATTATGCCTTAACTATGTCATACCTTTCTAATTAGTTAAATAAAATATGCTGGAACAAGACAGGCATAACTTACATGTTAGCAAAGAAAGAAATGAGGGGTGTGGGGGATGCCAATGCATCCAGCTGTGTGCATCTATATGGGATCCCTTGGGGGAGCTGCTCTGTAAGGTGTTATGTGTGGTGTGAGGGGAGTGAGGGTGATGGGCTCAGGAGTTTCAGCTGCAAAAGCTCTGCAATTAAATAGAAAGTCATGTCCTTCCTGCATCATTTCTCAAACTTCTTCACCCAACAGACATAAGAAATTGGGAATGAAGCTGGAGTCACAGGTGGCTCCTGACTATTGAAATGTGCCCAATGCCTGGCTGTAGAGGCATTCTTCCTGGTGGGTTCTGGGTGTCTGAGCAAGGTGACATCTCATCCACCTTCTCCCATCACAAAAGACACATCATGGGAGGGAATGAAGATGAGGGAGACAGACTCTTTTCAGTTGTTCCCATTGATAGAAGGCAATGGGTAAAAATTAAATCACATGAAATTACATCTGAGAACAGGCAAAATATTTTATAACGTGAAGATCGTCAAACACTGGAAAAGGGTGCCCAGAGGGGTAGAAAGATCTGCTTTTGTGGCCCTGAGCAATCTTCTTTAGATGATCCAGCTCTGAGCCAGGAATTGGACTAGGCCGTCTCCAGTGACACATTCCCAGCTCACTGCACTGTGATGCTGTGTTATGGTGTCACGCTGCAGAAGGAGATGGACAGAAGAATGCCTAATCTCAGGTAGTATGCAATCCCAGGCCTTGTGCAATCCTTTGCTCATTCAAATTGTTACAATTTTTGCAGAGGTAAGTATGTTCAGACTTTATCTGTGCAGTTTTTCATTTAGGAGAGCCATATTCTTGATTTTGCAGGAATATTCTCCTATCTAACTGCTCTTTTAAGTCTCTAAGTTCAGTATTATGTAGCAACTGTCTTCTTAAGCCATTTCTCCATGAACTATAAGTGCTCATTTGTTCCTGTGGTTAAAAAATTGTATAAAGCCATGAAATGGTGTCATATTTTGAATCAGCATTGAAAATTGCTCTATTATTTTGAGCACATATACATTTGTAATTAGTTCCTATTGCTCTAACCCACCCTTTGTGGCCAAAGAAGCAACCTGTGGTCAAGTTCTTTGCTTTGGAAGTGTATTGCAAAATAATTACATGATTTGGAACCATTGTTCATTTCTACTCAGTACTTAAAAATCCCAACAGTTCCTAACATTCTTTTAGAGTCTTTATAGGTTATTTTTCTTTCATATTTGACAAGCTATAAGGTGAGGTTTCACATGAACGAAGTGTATTGCCTATCTTGTCTTCATCACTGAGATAATACTTAAAACTGAGGTAAGCATCTTACAATTTTGTCCTTTTAAGTACAATGAAACATCCCATAAAACAAATTTATTTTCCATATATATTCACATAAGAGAAGAACCTATGAACCAACAGTCCTAGGTTGAACCAGCATGGCACAGAAAATAGATTTAAAAATAATCAATATAGAGACCATATTCTCTCCATGTTACTGATAAATATACATACTACAGGTACTGAAATACATTAGTATGTATGCAAATGCTATAAATTACTGGTTTGATTATTTGCAAACACCAAATATGATTTTGAGATTATTTTAGAGAACAGAATTGAGTTCAAAGTGGTCTTACATTAATAAAAGTATCATTAATTTCTTTTCATCCCTTCCTGATGGCTTAGTCAAGACAATAATTCACGCAATTTGTCTCTTCTGCCATAATGTATTTCACAAGCCAAAATAAGGAATGTGAACCAAAATACTAAGAACATTAAAGTACATCAAGTACGGGGTACTTAGCTAACTTCCCTGGTGTCATTGGGATTACTAGAGACTACACCAAGCTTGTTGTTGACTCTAGATATGGAGTCTCTGATCCTTTTCAGGGAAAGTAACGAAACTAACTAAGAAATGGTTTCCAGTTTCATTTAGATGCACAGAAACAGACACATCCTGATTTTTGCTGTCCACTGAAAAACAATAAGCAGAGAAGCATATTGTAAAAACATGCAAAATATAACAAAGTTAAACAATGTGTTCTGATTAATTCTTTATTTTCAACATCAAATACACTGATAAAAATCTTGCACCAATCAGGTAGCCTACCAGATTTTTTTATTTAGACTTTTTTAGAACTTTTTTTTAGGTGCAAAACAAAGAAAAAAATACCTCACCAAAACCAAAGACATCAATTTCATATGCATCAGTGAAAGAACAGAATACTTCAACAAATACATTATAACAGCTGAGCCTATACCAAAGAAAGGACTTTACATTGACAGACTACATAGTGCACACAAAAGCATTGGTTTCATAGTACATACAATAAGGTAATACATAAAGTGGCTTGATAATGCAAGTCTTGTGACCAGCAGTATATCCCTTCCTTTTTCAATGGGCACTTTCTGAAGAAACAGACTTCTAATCATAGGCACACAGGATTACAGAATTTACTAATTTGCAAGATGGCAGCATATATATTTTTTTTTTAATTTTTTGTTTATTTCTTTAGGCACATTTGAATGCAAAAGAATGTTATATTTTTTTAATACAGTGCAAAACCAAATACCCTTTATGGGCATCACTTTGAAAACAACTTTCAGGATGTAAGGCCATCCACATTTGAAGAATGAAAGGGAACCGAGTAGAAAGGGTAGGACATTAATATTGGGAAAACATTAATTTTAAACTCTCAGATCAATTTGAGATTATGCTACACTTGCAGGTGAGAGCAAAGATTGGTTTGTATTGTGATACAATTGTTAACAACACCCTTCTATTACATGTGTTGACTTTCTATCTGTAAAGCCGTATCACGGTTGTAGATAGCATAGAAAACATTAATCTCTTTATTCAAAGTAAGAAATGCACTTCACACAAGTTCAGCTGAGAATGCCTTATATACAAAATCCCATTATCTGTAGGTTGAGTTGCACTCCAATTTTAAAGCAGGAAATTATATACACAAGAGGGGCTTGCCATGTTCTTATCTAAGCCTGTAATAAGACTAAAGACCTACTGAGACAGAATTTTTACTTTGTTGGTAATTTGCTTGTTTTTAAACATTTAGCACAGCTCTTAAAGAATCAGTTGGCATCAAACTGAAATGGATGGAGGCTCCAGTACAAATCCTGGCTCATATAAAGGGGATGGTTTGGGGTTTTTTTGTTTGCTTTTTTTCAATTCAAGGTCCAGTGATCTGCTGACAGTCCTTTCAATATCCTTGGGAGCTCAGTTCAATTATTTCATTAATAGCATTTTTAAACCCCTCAATGTAGAGGAGAAAAATCATCAAGTGATGTCACTAAAGCATAATAGTAAATTTATCACAACGCACACCAAGAAACTTCCATTAAATTATTTTACCCGAGTACAAATCTTACTACCCCAACTGGGAGTTTTACCTGAGACAACGTCTGCAACATTGAGATGTGGCTCAAACCACTATAAACCAGAGTAGCTTTCACATATTCAAACACCACATATTCTGACACCACTAAGTGCTACACATCTCCCTATGTCCTCTTCTACTTCCCAAGCTTTTTGCAGTACTTCACTAACAACCATGTTCTCAAGCAAAGCAAATTCATCTGGTCTATTTATGTTTGCCTTGTGCTGGTATTACATTGCCTATGTTTCTAGAGGGATTTTTGTTTTTTGATGTTTTTGTTTTTTTAAAAAAATCCATATATAAATGTTACAAAACAATTATTTTGTTAGCTGTCCAGAGACATCATTATGAATGTTTTGGTAAAAGCATAATTAGCTGCCTTGAAAAGTTTTCTTTCAATTTCTTTTTACATGCTATATATTTTTATGTAATATCCAGCACCAGGTATTCAGGTAGTACTGGTTTGTCAGCTGCAAATATAAAGTATATATGTATATATATATACACACATAAAATATATATTGTGAAATAACAATTACCAAATGTCAGGCACAATTGTTTGCATACATGAGAGCATCATTCAGAATTACATATGAAAAAAGTTACCATTTTTGTATCATAGACTTTATTTAATCATTTGAATAGCTACATTCAGCTGTCTGATATGGGGGCCATCTTTATAGGTAACTCTGGGAATGTTATTATATTCATTAAGGTGCTGCTTCACTTAAAATCTCATTAAAAAGTTAATGACATGGATCCTAAATCTGCCCCGAGGTAAATTAATATATTACTGGGAATCACTCTGGTTCTTTCTAGCTTGCCCTTCACTGTTGTTACCACAAGCATGGGAGGACTGGTTGAAAGCCAAATTGCTTCCTTGCAAGGGCTGAGCCCAGAAAACATTCATAATTATTGTGAGCCGATATAATTTTGTATATCCCAAGACACATTATGATACCCTTCTGACTGCTGCATACTACTTCAAATGGTACTTTTCCATCTTCACTGGGAAAATCTCTTGAGTGTAAAGGTTCTTCCCTATATAGGTACCATCCAAATCAGACCCTCTGTTGTGAATTGTTCTCCATGAACTACGTTTTATCCTCCAGGTCAAATCTACACCTGAATGGATGTAATGATCTATTCTGGGATGTAGGAAGGGAGGCATTTGTTTAAACCAATTTGCCTTCCAGCTTATGAGCTTGATCTGTGTGTTCTATCCTAGAGAACACCAAGTTGCACGTACAGTATTTAAATAGCAGCTCTAGTGCATACTGGGCTACAAGTGAATGATGATGATGATGTAAACATGTGAATTTAACTGCAGGGATTCCTGTGCTCCATTCAGATCTTAGCCTACACTCATTTCAGTAAACTCATGGTTTTTCTAACACATCTGAAAACGAGCTTCTAAGAATCCTAAAATGTCCATTTTCTTTCATGACATTTAGGAGTCCTCAAAAAGCCCTTAGGTACCAAATTAGTGCTCATGCACACACACAGACACACACATACACACACATGCTTTTACTGAACACACATAAAGACAAAATCTTCAGCACATTCAGAAAAAAATGACACCATAATATGCATCAAGAAAAGGCCTATGAACTTACGGTGACTGCTTCACATGTTTAGGCTTGCACAGTTTTTGAGGAATCTTCTCAAACATTGGTAGCATGTAGCTTTAGGCTTTCAAACTGCTCATATCCTCAGATATGTACATGAAACTATTATAGACACCATTATGTACAATCCACCATATGTAAAGAACTGAATTCTTGACTTGAAGCACAAACCTGTCCTATGCCTTGCTGTCTTCACAACTGCTGTGAAACTTAATCTCACTGCACACAGGCTCTACCTGTGTGACAGGGAGCATAATTAGACATAGGCACTCCTGTATGGCATTACTTGCACTCTTTCCTATATTTAGTTTCTACAGGATATTCCAATCAACATAAAGTTTTCAACTATAGTAAAAACATCCCTAAACCATTTCACTAGCACTGTGGCCAGCTGTTGTGGAGCAGCCTACACACGTGCTAGGAAATACCCTCACTGGCAGGGTGGTTGCTTCCAAGTAGCTATTGGAATAGTCCCTGGTCCATGCTAACTCCCAATCTGCACCTGTCAACCAGAAGTGCAGATAGCACAGGCAAAGTTTATCATTAGATCAGTAAAATATCCCTGGCATATGTAATAATCTCTTTCTAGTACCCAGCAAAGTTCCCTGACATTTAATTTTCTAGCATAGAGGCAGTCAAACAGCAGCACCAGCTGCTACTTTGGATAGTGTATCATGTGGAGTTCTTCAGTCTCTTTCACTTCTTGTTGAAAATCTTGATGTCAGTGAACCTTTTGTATATTAACAATTGGTCTGAAGCATCAAGCTGATCTTTATGAATATCCTTAGGAGCTACAGACATGCATGGAGAAAGATTTATCTTTCTGGACATGCAGTCCCAGAGTCTACACCATGTCTGAGGCTCACTGCACAGTTTTGGTGTCACAGGTGAGCTGGCTCTTATTGAAATTGATAATATCAATTGATATTGAAACATGCTGCAACAAGAGCCAAAGAAAGCCAAGGCAAGAAAAACCTGCTGCTCTGACTGTGATACTAGCCCTCCCACACACAGCTAGACCACACTCTGCTGAGTGGGATGGGACCATCCTACCCTTCTGTGCCAGTCTCACACTGGCATCCTCACCCCTTGCTTTGTGACAGCACAAAGCAACAAAGCACAGGATAGGGGGAGGGACTTTTTGTAAATAGTGCTAGATCCTGTATGTGTGTGTAGACTTTTTTTTAAGACCTGATGATTTTTGTAATCATCTGGTCTGATTCAAGAGTAATTCTCTATGTAATCTCTGTTTTCCATGTTGCCCTGGATTTACAGTCTTGGGCAACAAAACAATTTAGCTTTCTAGGATCAGACAAGAGAGCATGCATGCAAAGCAATTAATCTAGAGGATATGGTAAGGGTACTAAAAGTTTGGTCAGAATGAGCTTGAGAGAGAGTTGTCTGGTGATGTAAGCCAGCGAGGTAAAGTAATCCTCAGTTCCTTTACACTGTAGGAAGAAAAGTGGCAGGAATCTAACTAAACTACCACGGCAGTCCCTCGCAGTGCAGCTTCCCTATGGCACACTAAGATGCCAGTCAACTTTCTGTTTCCACTGCCAAAGAAGTCATCCAGAATCTCTACCAAACTGCTTCAAAGTTTCAAGCAAGTAAAGGATTAAGCGAGCTCAGGATTTTGGGTGGATATTAACAAAGACTACTACTCATGAAGATACCAAGATGCATGGGTGGTATGGCCTATTGATTTATGGTAAAATGAATGTATGGTTTAGATTAGGACTTAGTTACCCAAATAACATGCAAAATTAAATAAAAACACTGCGAATTTTTAATCAGGTTAGCCAGACAATCCTTGCTGGCTATCCATGGCAATGAAATGTCTTCCACTTAGGATAAGCAATCAATTTAGGCAAGCGCTTGACAAACACTCATATGGAAAATGCTGGTGTCTGTTGTCACTGGAGTGTTTTCAAAGGCGAAATGAAGCATGAGCTAGGTAGAACACTGCTGGGTTTCTCATACCACTGTATATGCTGACTTCTGTTTATATTGTATTCTGCACATTCTCCTCTTCTTTGCTGTTTACATAAAAAGACTGCAAGGAATGAGATGAAGCTGATGCAGTTGTCAGCTGGCTTCGGTTTTCCTCTTCCATGGGTGCAGCACTCCTGGCTGCTGGGGCGTGCAGTCGGTGAGCGTCCAGCATCTCCAGCAAGAGATCGTAGAGTGGAACTACGTTTTTACACTTCATATTGTACAGGTGCTCCATTCCTTTGTTGCTGTGGGTTGTGATGAAAAAACAACAGTTAATTTTCCAAATATGCTATGAAGGGGAGGGAAGATAACAGCTAATAATATTTTCTGGGTTCATATAAATCCTGTATTGTACAAAGCAATTAACTTAGCAGTGCATTTGCTGTACACGTCTGCTACAGTGAAGCAAAAGGCAGCAACTTCAAAGAATGTTGCAGACTTCTGGAGTCAAGTTGCCTTCTACAGGTGCCTCTTTTGCTCTTCTCTTCCTAAAAAGTAGCTTGACCACATAGACTCTTAACTTAGCCACTGCAACTAAGTGGGTGGGATTGCCTTTCCCATAATAAAAATATATCCTTTTTTTTTTCTAGAAAATAAGATCAACTAATTTCTTAGCAAAAGCTCACTTATAATGTGAATTATAATATAAATTCCACCCCCCCTTTTTAGAGGGGCAGAAAAAAGGTTCATTAACACAAGGACAAAGAAACTCTACAAAATGACACAATGAAAAAAACCACATGCACACATCCCTTGATTTTCCCCCAGAGATCTGTGTACCAGTTCAGGAGATAACATCTACATGTTTGAGCTTTAGTAGCTATGATATGGTGTTTACTCTAATTTAAATTTCATTAGCTGAAATAATGAAAACTAAAATCTGTGTTGCAACATCTCCTGTGGTTTCATAATAATAAAATCTATAGATTATCTTTGTAGAAATTTATCCTGTTAGCACCTCATCCACTGAGCAGCTACCTTAAGTGGTAATTTGGTACAATCATTTGCTGCAATTCCTAACAGTGTGTCAGGCGGCTGACCTCAGATTAGCAAAAGGCATGGTCCTCTAGACTGGAATTTAGTAGCTCTGCATTTATCCTCACCCCTACAATTCACATAATGATCCTAAATCTCTTTTCTAAAGTGATTTGCAATCATGACACTTGTGAAAAGTGGCTGCATAAAAGTGATAGTTTTATTAAATCTTATCATATAGGAGACTAAAGTTTGCAGAGCTAGGCCACTCCTACATTTATATTCTACTCAGTACTTTTCCAACACCTGTGTCCAGGTCAGGGGTCCTTACCCTGAGAAAAACTTAGACCTGTTAGAACAGGTGCAGAGCAGGGCCACAAAGGTGATCCAAGGGCTGAAGCACCTCTCCTATGAGGAAAGGCTGAGAGAACTGGAGAAGAGAAGCTGGAGAAGAGAAGCACCTGAAGGGGGCCTAGAAGAGAGCTGGAGAGGGACTTTTTACAAGAGCATGTAGTGACAGGACAAGGGAGGGTGGCTTCAAACTGAAAGAGAGCAGGTTTAGATTAGGTACTCAGAAGAAATCCTGTACTGAGGGTTGTGAGGCTCTGGAGCAGGTTGTCCAGAGAAATTGTGGGTGCCTCATCCCTAGGAGTGTTCAAGGCCAGCTTGGACAGGGTTCTGAGCAACCTGGTCTAAGTGGAAGGCATCCCTGCCTGTATCTGGAGAGTTGGAACTAGAGGATCTTTAAGTTCCCTTCCAAACCAGGCCATTCTATTATTCTATGACACATAAAATTAAAAGCAGATACTGCTTTCTATCAAACTATCAGCACTATTATGACAAAATGCAGAAGAAAAGACAACTAGAAGGGACAAATGGGGTAAATATTTTCATATGGATTTTTTTTTTTTTTTTTTTTTTTTTTTTTGTAGCTGGCCTTCACAGAGCTTGCACTGCCACCCATAAAGGAAAAGTGTGCATTTGTGACACCTCTCTTGCATGGGCCCAGCACCAAAGTGCTGACTGTGTGCTTGCTCTCACCTCATGTGTCTGATGTGAGAGAGGATGAGGAGGAGCTGAGCCAGTCGTCTGTGTTGCTGCTGCAGAGAAAGACCTGACTTGGCCATTAAGTGTATCAGAGTGTCTGTGATTTTGTCCAGGACACGGTGAATATAGTCTTTCTCTTCCAGAGATTTCAAGGTGCTGGAAAGAAAAGTGTACACACCTAGAGTAGGAGGGAGAAAGAAAACAAACAAACCACAGATAAAAGTTACTTTGATGGACTCAGAGTTGCCCAAGGTATCCGCTGTGGCACCTCTTGAACTGTGTTACGCCATGGGATCTGACTGTGGGCCAGCTTTCTTCCTTGGCAGCCAGGTTGCTGCTCTGAATGACTCTGGAGCACGGATTTGGGCACTGTGGGAAAAGCAGGAGGAGGAAGACAATGCCACTTCCCTGCCTGGATCCCACCAAGGTCTGTACCAGGTGCTGGGTGACACCTGCAGCTAGACCTACCTGTGAGCTGTGCTCTTCTCTAGGCCACTTGGCTCTGAAACCTTGAGGAGATGCTGTTCCCCCGGAGAACTCTGCGATACTTACCAACCAACCCACGCTTTCAACAGCTTTTGCCATTTTCCCTACTGTTTAATATTTGATTTTTAATGATTTTCTAGTCAATCTAGAACTGAATAATGTTACTATGAAACATGTAAACAAAACCAGGGTTTGTTTATGGACATTTTCCTCAAAAAATTCCTCCCAACCAAGCAAAAGCCTTGAAGGGTGTACTCCTTCACCTGCAAAACTGACTCTCCTTTAAAAACCATGTCCAAATCAACTTGTGCAAATTTAGCTGTCTTGAATTGCTTATTGCTGAAAGTGAGCAGCCTGAAAGATGGTACCAGATAAAATTTTTTTCCAGAGGACAAAACACTTTAAAACTCCCCCTCCAACAGCCCCTCTACATCGTCTATGAGAGCCTCTAATCCAGGCATAAGAGTTTTTCTAATAGGAAATCTTGGGAGCATGAAGCACATCAGCTTTCAAAACGGGAAATCTAAATTATTTTGGGATGGTTTATCTTGATTTTTTTTTCTGGACAACACCACACAGCTGATGTGAATCAGGTCACAAACAGCACTGTGCTGCCAAAAGAGAGCTGTTGCATTCAGCATCAGTTTTTAAATCTTTTGGACTGAACCAATAACTCTAAACAGGTCGTATTGCCATAATCCAGTCCTGAGGCACCAGAGGTTTAAGATGTACATATGGTAATACATTAAACTGGCCTCATCATAGAGGGTTCATCATCCTGTGTCTATAATATATATATCATATAATATCTATAATATCTATAATATCTATAATATCTATAATATCTATAATATATAATCCTGTTCTTTGGCCCTTCTCCATCAGCTCACAGAGCCAAGAAGAGATCTGGATTTTGTCCTTGGGAAAAAATGGTTTCTGGAATAACATTTTGTTTTGCTTTTCTTTAAAGCATCGTATATAACAGCATATGGAATACAGGTAGTGCTATTAAGAATAAAAGACACACACACTGGGATGCACACACAGACAGACATATATGCTATAGCTTGTTTTCACTGCTTGCAGCCTTGGGGCTGCTGCTGGATGTGAAGACACTTTGCTGTGCACCTGAGCAGTCAGGGAGCTGAGATTTTTTTAGCATCTTGGCCTACCTCATCTCCTCACATCATCTGGGTACTTCAAGGACCTAGAACTACTGTAACCTGCAAGTAGCTTTTATGATTTGGGGTGTTGTGTACTAAAAAGAACTGTAAATGTGTTTGTGAATGTGTCTCTGAGAAACAGTAAGCAAGAAACTGCTTTAAAAAACCAAAAGGATAACTCAAACATAGTACAACTCCTGAAAATCATCAGTCAAAGTTCTTAATTCTAGTAATGGTATTGCTTCAAATTTGATATAGATAGATAGTACAGTGGTCTCTTTTTTCACAGACTTTTTCATAGCTATTATTATTTTTACTGAAATTCACAAACAGAAACTGGTCCTGGGGCTTTTCTCAGCAGAACCTTTCTCAGCTGACTCTGAACCACCCTCACATATACCTGTCAATAGCTTGATAGCTTAGCACCTACCTGTAGGGCAAAAATCTTAAATATTACTGGCAAAACACAATCCACTAGAAGGAAATACTAATCTCATAAATGCACAGTGCCTCAAGAGAAGTTTACTTCAGCCACAAGAACCTATTGTGCTCTTTCAGCAATATCCCATAGTTTCATATTACTGAAACCAGTAAAGGAAAAGAATCTTTTAGGAGGAATTTTTTCTCACCTAGGTCTAGTCTAGAAGCTATTAAAAACTGTAAATCAAAAAAGCACTTCCCAATAACTGTAGAGAATTCAGGCAACTGCCAGTCAATAACTGCCAAGGAAAATTATGTTTAGTTTTCCTTTCTACATCCTCAGAGTGATTGCTCCTGCCCCAGGCCACTGACCAGAGATTTGCCAAAAAAAACATGCTGGCACACACTCATACACATCCAAGCAGAGTTCTCAAATAAGGGTGCAGAAAATTGCCTTAGCAAAGTGAAATTTAACAGTCTCCAAGGCCTTTCCAAGCCTAAGTTGAATAGCTACCAGGTTGATTTCCAGCTCTTTCTGTAGGTCAGTGTTGTAAAACCTAACAGATGCAAGAACAGAGAAAGTACCATGCTACAGCCAAGAAAGGCCTGTTGGTCCATGCCATCCATATATATATGTGTATGTATATGTATATGCATATGTATATGTGTATGTGTATGTATATATATATATGTGTGTGTGTGTGTGTATATATATATATATATTTGTTGCATGTTTCTGTAGAAGAGAATGCCCTCAACATGTTTTCTGTCAAAATAAACCCCAGTTTTAAATATTTTTACATTTTACAATCACAGAACAATACCAAAGGCTCTTCTTCCACTACACCCAATTGCTCTGAAGCTGTAGCAAGACAGGCTGAGGTATGAGGAAATTCATCTCTGTACCATGCACTCCTGAAACCATCCAGCCCCCAAAAATAAAGAAATACATAAGAAGCACGCTTTAACAGGAACTGAAAAACATCAGGAGAAAAGAATAACAAGCACTCACGTGGAACAATGTATCACATGGAACTGGAGGTCTCCAGTATGCATCAAATCAGCCAAATCTTTCCATCTCTGTGGACTAACCAGCTAACTAATTGGGTAAATCTGCTGCTAAGGCAGATATGACCTACATCTTCATGCCCAAAATTACTGTTTACCCAAATTTACCCAAAGCCTGTTGCTTTTCCACATAGCAGCACTCCTCCAATACTCAAAAGTAAAACATCAGGCATCATGTTGCCCCTTCATGATTCTAATACTTATTTTCCAATGTTAAGGAACAGCTGAACGTGATTTTCAAAAATACTACCTTGGTTTTTTAGTCAAAAGATTTATTGCAGCAGTTTTAGAGTGGCACGTTCAGGTTAGTTGTTTAGCTGGACACAATGATGTCCTTGCTGTTACTTTGGTATCTCAGGAAAACTGTGGAAGTAGTGTAAGCATCTATCTTGTTTTACAAACAAAGCCTTCCATCCTTTCCACTGGCACTGAAGAAAACTTAAAAAAAAAAAAAATTGCATTTTGTCCAAAATCACATGGAAAAGGAGTGTTAAGATATTAAACAGTCTTGAAAGATGCTGCAAAATCAGAAATGTCCAACAAAGGCAATAAACAACACTACTTCATGTGAAAAGACTAGCAGATGTCCAAGGATTTAATAAAGAAATATTTGTGTACACTCAGTGAATTAAATCCACACAAAGCTTTAGAATGCAAATGCAGACTGCTTTTAAACATGAGATGTAGGATAATTAGCCCTATTTGTTTAATTAATCCACTTGTTTAAATAATTTTGAGATCTGCTGGTTTAATCACATGCGCATATAATACAGACAGCATAATAAGCCAAAAATTCATTGTGCATTTATCTGCTGTTTTTTTAGTAGAAGATTTGTGAATATTTACATATGCACTCACAGAAAGAAATCAGGTTAGGGTAGGTTTGGAGGTCATCTAGTTCATCCTCTTAATCAAATAGTGGTATTTTCAGGGTTAGATCAAGCTGCCTGGAGTTCTGTTCAGCTGAGTTCTGAGTATTTTCAAGGATTGAGATCCTACCATCCTTCTGGCCAACCTTTTCCAGTGCTAAACCTCTCACTGGGTAGTTTTTGTTCTGTTTATCTGCTCGGGATCTCCCTTGCTGAGGTTTGTCTCCATTGCAGATTGTCCTTTCCTCTTGTGCCTCTGAGAAGAGTCTGGCCCTGTCCCCATGGCCCTGGCTCCATGACCTCCTCTTCAGCTCCCTGGGGGCTGCACTGAGACCCTTCTTTACTTTCTCTTTCCCTGGGTGAACCAACTCAGCTCTCTCAGCCAAGTGCTTCAGAGCACATCACATTTCATATCTGTCCAACGCTTTATGTAAGGAGGTTGGCTACATTCTGTGAAGTAAAGCATCTCCTGAAGATATTTTAGAGGATCTATGCCAAACACACAACTCTTACACATACCCCAAATCAAGCTACTTATCTCTATCATACTTATCTGTACTGCAATCTAATGCCTCTTAATTTGAGCATCTAGAGTGTCAGACAGTCAGAAGCTATGATGATAGTGATGATAGATAAGTATGACAGACATACATTCCGTGACCATATATACATATAGTTTACAGTGGTCCAATCTCTCTTACGTGCAGAAGGAAATTTGCCTCTCATTATCACTGACTTCACTTGCTCTATATATATTTTTTTTTAATTTATTTTTTTAATATTTTATTTTTTTACTATTTTTCCTTAGGGGAATATTGTAACAAAAAATCCCATTAGCACAGTGAGATGTGCTTATGAGATAGCTGGTGACGCCTGGCAGGGCTTTGTCTGAATAAAAAATTTAGTTTTATGGATCGACATAAAATAAATACGACATAGGCACAAAATTTCTCTAGAGAATTACTTAAATTCTTCATGTTCAAACATCTAATTTGTTTTATTCAAACTTCCAGTTCTATTTTTTTCTAATTCAAATTTTTATAATTTTTTATTTTAAATTTTTATAAATCAATTACATGTTCTAGATTTATTTAAGAAGTTAATTACCTTTGAATATTTTAGCTTAAATTCTGGAGAAGCATCACTTTCCAGGAAGAATATTTAACTCTAGAAAATATTCTGTTATAATTATCAGGGCAATAAAAGGAAAATAAAATGTCAAACAGTAATTACAATTGTCATACCCTGGCAACTAAGGTAAGAACAATAGCCCTTCATTCCTAATATGCCACTTGCTTGCCTCAAATGTTACTTTTTGGCACTTGGTTACAACCATAAAACCTGAACCACATTCATATCTCATAGAAAATACATAAAGCATTTTATATTAGATAGTATAAATATATAATTTTGCTTGAGCTTTGAGGAAACCACATCCAAGCTTCCATAAAGTGCCTGATCAATAAACCAACATCTGCTACGTTTACAGTTAGCCTTTGATGGGAATATCCTAAATTTGTTTTTCCTGCAATTTGGGCAAGTTATCTGTTAGACAAAAAGGACAAAAAGGACACAGAGCCCTCCACATCTGTTTTCTCTGGAGGGCATCTACACATCTACAGGTTCAAATGCGACAGGAAAAGCTTTACAAGTGGGTAAATCCTCAGCATTGGGAAACTGGCATCCTTAGTCACCAGCTAACAGCTTAGCAGAGAATTGTGTCTAAAATTTTTACTTTGGTGCCTACAGTATCATTTTAGATGTCTGTCATTTCCATGAGAACACCGTGGGTCTCATTTCTGAATATAAAAAACAAATTGTCTGGAGATTTTTTCTCATTTCAAACAGAAAAGAGTCCTCTGGTGTGCAACAGAAGTTTTCTGTCACATGCTTCAAGTAAAATTTGCTTATTTCAATCATCTCACATAAAATTCAAATCATCTAACCTTACATATTTATATCTGTATCTTTACTTACACTTGTTATCTAGTCATCTATATTTGAAGTGTACTTCAGGATGAGTTTTACAGCCAAAAACTATAAAGGAAGTAGAAAGTGATTGCATCAGTTTTAGATACCTATAATTTAATATAAACTAAACCATGATAAACTCAACCACATTTTTGCCCTTATTTCCTTTTATTTTGCCATCACCTAAACACTGCAGTTAAGCATTGCCTTTGGGTGCCCTATGTGTGGTCCCAGCTACTTCAGGGTCTTGTAAGCAGAGTTTTAAGACCTGCCAGCATCTGGTTCAAAGCACTTCTCTGACCACTCTCTGTATCAGCTGCACACAGTGTGTCATCTACTCACTGCATCCATTTTCTGGGTCCCATCTATATCACCAGACAGGTTCGACTGCTTCCACCCCTGCCTGGTGGTCCTGCCTGCATCTGTGTTGAAAACCCATTTCTGTTGCTGCTGTCTCAAAATAAAAATGCCATTAAGGACAGCAAGCAGCGTTCAACGACATGCAGAAGCAGCCACAATTGCCACAAGTGACAGCAAAGCACAGGACTTACCAGAATTGAGCAGGATGATGGACTTAAGGCACACGAATTCCTCCCCTTGGAGGTTCATCATGCGAAACCGAGCAGCAGTAGCCAGCAGCATGTCAAAGATTTCCACCATGCCCTCTACACATTTCCCTTGATTCCTGTGTGAATACCATCAATGGGGAGACATTTACAGTTTTAACCTGGTGGTACCATGAGGTTTTCATCCCCTTGGACCAATACCCTCCAATTAGATTTCACCAGCTCAAGAGCAAGTATGTGACTTCCTACTCTGTGCACATTTGATATATGTGTGATTACAAAAACACTGTTCTTAGTCTTCCAAGTAGAATAAACACACAATTAAGTACTGTATTTCCAAAAAAACTCAATTTCAGGAACTCATCACAAAGGCATTATTGTGGTGGAACATTTTAAATTGACTCAACCAAATCTTTATATCGAGGAAAAATTGTTTTAAACTATGTTTTGATTCATGTGCATGTGTTCTGCTTTTGTTACTTTGCTTCCTCTTTCTTTTATTTTTTTCTCTTTAACTGAAATGGTCCCAGTTTTTACATTTCTCCCTCCCTAACCATTTGCACTTGTTTCTAGCTGGCTGAGCAAACTTTAATGATCAAACACACTTCTCTCGATGTTCAGCATCAACATAATTCCTCCTTAAAGAATAAGCTCAAGATTCGTGAGCTCAAGAAGGACCTAGGAGGCCAAAATCACGTTTATATGACTGATTAAAACGATCAGTTCACTCCACATATCAAGTAACTTTTTACATTGCAGAATTAAACTAAGCTGAAGTTTGGAACATCTCAAAGTCTTCATTAGTAATGGCAATTAACCATCTCCTTCTGCTCACAGTACTAGACATTCCCACTCACCAATTTTCATTTTGCCCACTCAACCTGAAGCTGAAGAATTAATGCAGATTATAATTATTTTTTGTGAAAATTTAATCAGTGGATCTTTTGGTCATTTCCATTGCTACCTTTTACAAGAACTACCTACTTTTACTTTTACTAAGGTCTTCCTGGGTGAAATTTTAATATATGACTTAATGAGTCATGTGATTTCCTGTTTTGAAATATAATACTTTTTAGATATGGCTTTCATAAACAAAATTAGGAAGATCATTGCTACAGGGAAATGCAAAAAGAAATTTCAAATGAACAGACTATGATTTATAGCATGAAAAAGATTGAGCATGTCCTAATTCCATTGTGACTAGAAACCTACCAGCATAGAGACGCCTGCTTCAAGTCTTAACACAATTGAGCTTTTGAGAACCTGTAGCTGATGTCTGAACCCACAGCAGACCCTCAGACAAAGCAGACATATTCCCTTCTGACTGCAGACTGAGAAGTTTCCTTGCACTTTCCAAGGCATCAGGACAAGTTTCAATGCTTCTGATACAATATGTTTGCCCAACACTATAGAAAGATTCATTTCCTCTCTATAGAGTTTAGTGCAGAGGACTAGAATCCTTTAATTATACCTTTAAATAATACCCCAATAAAAGTTTGTTTATGAATTTAGTATTTCAGAATTTTGCAGAAATGAAAAGTTTCCGTGGATCAAAAGACAAATGATCCATATTAAAAAACCCCACATCTTCATGTCTGACTGAGATATTTGTTTGGTTCCTAGAACCCATAAAAACTACTGCTGCCAGCATTCAAAACATTTCAAAATATTACAAAGTCTAAACAAATTCCAAAATTTGCATGTCTAAGACCAGAGGAAAAAAAAGAAACAGGAAGCTATTTGTAAAATCAGACCATTTAACATGCCTTATGGTGCCTCCTAAGACAGACATTTTGATAGCGAATAAGAATTATTCCCAACCTACAACAGACTGTAGTTTCCAAAATCAATATTCCAATTGTGACTCTCGTGCTGACAAGTACAACCTCTGGACAAAAACCCCTAACCCAGCAACACATATTCCATGTGCTTAAATCAACCTGTGTGCCTCCTTCCCATCAACTGAATTCATATGACAGAGGATTAATAAAAATTATATAAATTTAAGAAATTCTAAATAGTTCCTAATCTCTTTTGCTTTGCTATCTGCTGTGTATGTGAAAGACCAGGCTACTCCATAAGAGGAGAAAAAAAAATAGTATCTCTTTAGGTAATGTATTTTAGGTGGTTATATACCCAGCTTTAGGTATTCATGTGTGCAAGGAATGACCTAGAAATTTCTGCCTTATTTTCGGAGGTGGGAAGCAGATCCAGCTCCATTGATATCAACAGGAACTGCAGGAGCTAAGTATCTTTGCAATACAGGGTTCTGTTATAATTTTTTTATTACTTAGGATACAACAATTATTTTCTTTGTCATAGAAAACAAGAAACTATCTGAAACTGGAATCTGCAGTTCTCCTCAACTGCCTTCTAACTTTCTAACATAAGCTGATAATACGATCATATCTTCACAGTAATGTGTCCACTTGATAAGGAGGCATATCTGGGAAAGCCTAGAGAACTTTCCTGAAGGACAAAATAGCAACAGATTTAACAATTATCTTTATCCTTCCATCTTGCTGTTGTCTTTGTGTACTCTCATCTTACTGAAGACAAGAAAAGCTTGTTTACTGCAAAGCTTCACAGTGTATTCTCAGAAGAATCCTTTAAATTTGGCTATTGGGAAATGTTTAGGAAAGTTTAATTTGAATTAAAGGTCTTAAGTGACTGCATAAAAGTACTGTGTGCATTAACTTTAGTAGGTCTATGGAATCACAGCACCATCCAGGCCAGAGGGCAATTCAGAATTACTTTAGTCCAGCCTCCCACTCAAAGTGGGGTCAGCTCACTCGAGGCTTTATGCAGTGCTTGTCTTGAAAATCTCCAAGGATGGAGACTGCACAACCTCTCTCAGCTTAATTATTTTCATCATCATGCTTTTTTCCTCCTCTACATCCAGTCAATACCTCCTCTGCTTCAATTTATTACTACCATTTCTCAGTATCCCAGCAGGCATTTTAATAAAGAGCCTTGATAACCTCCTTGTGGACTGTAGGTTATGCAGACTTAGAAGCCCTTTCTCCTCCAGGCAGAACAAATTCACTTCTTCCAGCCACAAGGCATGGGGTCTGGCCTTGGTGGCTCTCCACTACGTTTGCTGGAGTTTATTAATATATTTCCTTTAATAACTGGATATGGTATTCCAGATAATGAGTGCCAAATAAAAGCAGGATAATGGCTTCCCACCCTCTAATGCCTATCTACCACTGATAGTGGTAGCAGTACCAGGGCTATTCCACTGTATGTAGGAATAAGAATCTAGGTTTTATTTAAGTCTTGGGAAAAACCTAGACACCTAGAAAAACCTTTAACAGAAGCACAGGAACAAGTAAAAATTAATAATGAAGGGTGCTTGGGTGAAGGGAACAGGGACTCAAGGACTCAATGGATGTTCTCACTAAACTTTTCATTCAAAGGGAAATGCTAAAGACAGATGCACCCATCAAAACAAATTCTGACTTTTTGTTATCTCTCTCTCTCTTCTTTTACCATGGTTCTTCATTTGATGGAAAGGGACTGCCAAGAACAGATGGGATGCACAAGGCTAGGAGAGGGAATATCAGCTTCAAAAGTGGACTTAGTAACTTGGTGATGAAGCCTCTAAGCAAGGCTTGGCACAGGATGTGCTCCTAAGCCTAAAGGTAGGTTAGGAAATGTAGGAGAGAAAAGCTGCAAGGATAACATTCACATCCCCAGTTAGAAAAGAGGGTATTCACAGACAATTCAAATGCCTGTGCTCTGACACAAGAGAAGAACAGTAAGTCTGTACACAGACTTCCAAACAATAGATGAACCTTATATACATTAATGTATTCTATATAAACTAGTTCTATTAATAGACACCGGTAGAAACCTTCTACTCCTATGTAAAGCAAAGCACTGAAAGAGCTTAAGGAAGAGGGATATCAGGAAAGCTCCATATGCAAGGATTTAAAACCAAATCAAGAACATCTACTGGGATGCCTTCAATACTGCCAGACAGTTTTATGTATAATGTCCAGACAAGTATTATAGGGCTACTTAACTTACAGAGGATTCCACCTTTTCTCAATGCTGCACTTTATCAGTCATTAAAAGATGAGAAAATTGTTAGCAGCAGAAAATTTTACTTCAGACCATCCTGCACTTAAGCAGTAATACCAAAGGACTGTGGAAAAGGTTAGGGAAAAATAAGCTGGAAAAAATTAAAATCTGAAAAAAATTAATCCCAAAGCTCTAGAACAAAACAGCAATCTGAAAAGAAGTCACAGAGAAAAGCAGAAACCACCAGGTGTAAAGTAAATCACGGTGTCAGATGCAAATCCTGCTGATAAAGAGAATATAGTTCTGTAAGTATCCAGGAGGTTAAATATGATTTTGCTCTGGAAAAAAATGTTTTGTTCACAGCAATCAAGTTTGCACCTTCACACAAATCAGTCAAAAAGTGGTAGGTGGTCATGAAGGTGTGAGCTACAGAGAGGGACCAATTAATTATATACAGGGCTTGTTCTACAGTCCTGTTTTGTTGTTTTCTGTGTGGTTTTTGGTTTGGGGATTAGAGGATTTTTTAATTGACTTGTTCATAAGCCTTCAGAGACAGCAACATCTTTTGCTCATCCCATTTCTCCCTGAATACTGGCTTTCAATTAACACACCCTGGGGAACTTCATAGACTACAGTCGATGGCTGGTATTACAACCTGCTCTTCCAGAGGGTACTGTTAAGAGCCCATTGTTTCTTATTCAGTATAAGCTTAAGAACAAATATTTTTTCAGACAGTTGCTGGCTAAAACATATTCAAAAGTTATAAAATTAGTCCAAGATTTAAATGTCATCATTGAAAAGTATTTGCAATCAATATGAAGTAGCACACTTATCAATTTAAAAAAAAACAAAAAAAACCCAAATATATATTTTAATGTTATTTTCACCTATAGCTAGTCACAGATTACCAGAGCTGTTGACATTGCATGAATTGTCTGGAAATCATCTAGTTCAGAGGCCCTGCTCAGGCCTACATATCGTTGGGTTTTCAGTATCTCCAAGGACTGAGACTCCAAAACATCTTGTCCTGTCACTGAGAATCTTCCTCTGCCATCTTTACTTCCCCCCACTCCATTAAATATTTATCAGATCT